CCCCCCCCCCCCCCCCCCCCCCCCCGTCGAGAAAGGTAGATTCGCCTCAGACTTTCCAAACACCGCTCACGGGTCACGCACAAGCACGTCTCACACATGTGAAAGGATTCACCTCGATGTAAATCATGACGAGCGACAACTACTTCTAGCAGGATGCAATGCTGCTGCGTTGTATTGCCGTCGCCGTAGCCGCTGCTTCCTGAAAGTGCCACGCTCTCTCTTTTGAATACTTCGCCCGCCACTTCACTCATTCGTCTTGTCTAGGTATGCCTGTAAAAAAACAACACGCACGGCACCAGCGTCGCGTATAGAAGCAGTCGTCAGGGTCGGTTCACGTCAGCGACAGCACGAACGTTATTGCCACCCGTCGCAGCACAGCGGACTTCACGGGCACACAACGAGGCAACAAGCCCGTTTCCAAACGCCGTTTCGAGCACACACTTCGATCCCTAAGTCGTGGGTCTATCGAGACCGCAAACAAGGCCTAGAGCAGAACACGTGGAAGGAATTACTTCGGCTGGATTCCTTCCGCCCCTCACAATATGTGCCAGCTGAAACGTGCTCTCCAACAGAAACCACTATCTTTAGGGTGGTCCAGCTGATGTGTATCATAGCTCACTTTTTCTTGTCCATGAGAGTGGCTGCGGAGGACTTATCCGCGCCGAACCCGCCCTTGGCCACTCCCTTAAAGAACGGGCCGTCAGGGAGGGGGTCCAGCGCGACTCCTACTCTCTCCCCGTTGTACTTGATCCCCTGCAAGTGCCGACGTGCGAGGGGTAGTACATACAAAAGCAGCAACATATGTGGTATAAAATAAGGCACTCAAAGTTGATTTCTATCGGCTTGCGGACCCTTCGGGTTCATTTTATTTTCGAATACCTTTTTTGGGGGTAAGTTAGCCTGTGACCACGGGAATCGATCCCGTCAAATATTAGACTACGGACACATGAAGGTACTGGGTAGAGAGAACGGAACGGTTTTCAATGTGAAGACAACAACTACAACAACAAAGGTGAGAGATGCAATTGTGGCGAGTCCTCCTGCTTCCCTGCCAAGCGCGAGGAGCAGTGGTACTTCTTTGGGAGCGTGCGCGTGTTATTGGACAAGGACGGGGCGGGTTGTGATGGAAAAAAAGTTTGAGAGTTTCTCGGGAACATCTACAATATTCATGCGTGCTCCTCACAAGCAAGCTTCGCCTCAGAGCACAAACTCTGCTGGGCATGGTGAGGAACACAGTCCTTCTCAGACGGGGCCCCGCAGACATCGGTCGTGGGGCATACCCCTGGTGGGGTAACCCCGAACCAGCTTGCTCGCTCTCCTGCCGACCGGTGTATATGCGTCAACGTGGGCGACTTTCTTGCGGTCACCAGTTCAACGTTTTTTTTTTGTTGTAGATGGAGGTAGACACGATACCAAAGCAACTATTAAATAGCATGTTTACAGCTCTCAGGCAACATCCCGCGGCTAGGCCTAAACTCCGCCTGAAACCTAACCCTAACCCACACCCACACCCCACGCACGCTTGGTTGGTGTGCATTCGGAAGGCCCAGGTCGCCGTGCCGGGCTACTTGAGCGCGCTTCGCGCGCGTCAACGTTTGCGTATATACGCCGCGCGCCCTTACCTTGCAGACGGTGATTTCGCCGTCATCCCCCTCCACCGACCCGTAGCCGGCTTCCAACACCAACTTCTTCCCCGCACCCGATCTCAGCTGCGAGTACATCTCGCTCGCGTGGTCCAGAATCAGGCGCTTTTGTCCCTGGGCGCCCTGCGCTGTCCACCCCGCCTCGGTGCACACCTGACCAATGGTGTTCCACAACGCGGGGGCGGCGGGGTCAAGAAGGGTCGGTGCTTCTCTATTGTCCTGCTTCATCAGAACAGAGCTTATGGATGTATCGAAAAAACTTACAGTAGTGGACAATCTGTTTTTGTTGTTGCTGCTGCTGTTGAAACGTTAAAATTGAAAGGGAAATAGACACAAGTGGGTATACCCACCCGTTTCTCGGACAAAAGTGGGTACTCGAAAATCCAGCGCGCGCGCACTCCATAGGCGACCCCCAAACGACTCAAAACCCCATTCTGACACCTGGGCAACACAGCCAGGGACCATACAAAGCACGGGCATCGATTTTTTCCCACTTTTCGGCACACCTTTGGCCCTAATACCGCCGACGCGCGCAAGGCCTCACCAGAGTGCCCACTTATGTCCGACATCGCGGTGGGTATACCCACCGGCGTCAACTAATTTTTTCATGTACCCACTTGTGTCTGTATTTTGACCCACTTTTGTCCAAATTGTACCCACCTTTGTCCACTTACGGACGGCGAAAATCGAGCGGAAATCGACCTCCACGTCACCGCACGGCAGAACATCGAATAGCCTCGGAACGTCTCAGAACCTCCCAACACCGTATCCATGGCATCTTTCCTATCTATGGCTGCCGATTGCGGACCGACCACGGAGGTACATGTCAGAAACATGCCAGACCCCTTCGGTACCGACCGGCACGGGGAAGATACCCGCGGCAAGCCCGGCAAGCAGCGTACTAACGGCACGCCACAAATAAATGCGTGACACACAACGGACACCACAACCAACGGGTCGCGCATACAGAACAAAAAGACGCGCAAACAGCAACAACACACACACAAAAACACCAGCCACCACGACGAGTGCACACCGACTCGTCACGGCAACAGTAGGCTTGCCGCGGGTATCTTCCCGTGCCTGGTATCTTCCCCGTGCCGGTCGGTACCGAAGGGGTCTGGCATGTTTCTGACATGTACCTCCGTGGTCGGTCCGCAATCGGCAGCCATAGATAGGAAAGATGCCATGGATACGGTGTTGGGAGGTTCTGAGACGTTCCGGGGCTATTCGATGTTCTGCCGTGCGGTGACGTGGAGGTCGATTTCCGCTCGATTTTCGCCGTCCGTAAGTGGACAAAAGTGGGTCAAAATACAGACACAAGTGGGTACATGAAAAAATTAGTTGACGCCGGTGGGTATACCCACCGCGATGTCGGACATAAGTGGGCACTCTGGTGAGGCCTTGCACGCGTCGGCGGTATTAGGGCCAAAGGTGTGCCGAAAAGTGGGGGAAAATCGATGCCCGTGCTGTGTATGGTCCCTGGCTGTGTTGCCCAGGTGTCAGAATGGGGTTTTGAGTCGTTTGGGGGTCGCCTATGGAGTGCGCGCGTGCTGGATTTTCGAGTACCCACTTTTGTCCGAGAAAGGGGTGGGTATACCCACTTGTGTCTATTTCCCAAATTGAAAAGTCCCCAATGCCCTCCTCATCAAAGGCAAGACATGAATATCCCTGGTCAAAATTTGGTCCGAAGAAAGGTACAAAACACCAAAACTAAGACAAGCACAAATGCGCAAAGTCAAACAAACCAGCAGAGCCGCACCATGCCAGAAGGAAAAATGATCTAGAATGATAAGTTTTGAAAGAGATGGTGTTGTTGCCAATCGTGATCGCAATTCTCCTTCAGAACGACAAGGACAACACATGGCAGGAGAACACCTAAAGATGCTGTAAGAAAGTCGTACCCAAGGCCCTTGGAATAAAATCACGAGGGGGGAGAAACAACGGCCGTGCTGGTGTGCTGTCGTCCCGTCAAACGCGTTTGGTACTGCATTCCCCGAACGTAGGCGGAGCGAGTTCGAGGAATCAGATCAACATTTGCGCAAACACGGGAGGGTTTTACAGAACGACGTAAGACAACCCATCGTGTAGAGAAATGTCTCTACGAGAGTTTTGCAAAGCCGCTTTCGTTCGCGTCCCGCTCGCTGGCGCACGAAGCATGACCCCCCCCCCACCACCCCTACCCTAGCAAACGCAGGGGTGATGCCCAGCTTCTGGTTCATGACCAGCTTCTGGTCCATCCTTGTCAAATGTAGCCTGGGCTGGCGAAAAGCCCGGCATATCGCACCGTCCCTGCTTTGTAGGGATGCGAGGTCTATGGTCTTCAGACTACGGAATTCTTTTAGATGAGTACACCCCCCCCCCGCTCCCCTTTCCCCAGGCATGAAAAACACAAGAGTACCCCCCCCGCCCCCCTCCCCGTGCGTCCTACTGATAAAAACGGCTCTAGAAAATCACAGGGCAAGTCAAACCATAGTTGTGAATCTGCAAATATGGCAAAATGGAACGGTACACGTTACGGGGGACGGGGGACGGTACGGGACACGGGGGACTCACGTTTCCCACGGGATACCAATCGTCGGCGTCCTTCAGCCTGGCGTATAACCTCGCAACCTTGCCCCCCTCGGCCTTGATGGCGTTGTACTCCAAGAGCATGTGTCTCGCCACCGCCTCCCCCGTGGTTAAGGTTTTCCCCTGCTGCGGAGGTTTTTTTGCCCTGCCCCCGCCGAAGCCTTGCTTCTTTCGCTTCTCGGTTTGGTGGGGCATCTCGAAGCCGCTCATGCTCAGAGGGCGCCCTCCCTGTTGTCGCTGCAGCCAAGGAGAGGGGTTCAAGATGAGGTATGTGTGCAATCGTGCAAGACATCCGGGTCGGGGTTTTGACGGGAGGAGGCGGCGGCAAGGGAATGGCATCGTTGTTATCGATGCGCAGGTCTTGCTTGAGTCGTCTGTTTTGGCACGTTTGCTCATGCACACGTCCCGTAAAACGTATCTCTTTCCCGTTGCCATCAGCATTGCTGATCGCTGATTCCGTGTGCCTCGCATGCAACACGCCACACGGTAGGCGCTTCTCAGCAAGCTGCCCAATTGACTATCTATGTACCTCGAGGTGAGAGTCGACCCCTGAGATATGCACCGTCGCAGGATCCTACTTCGATGCTACCGTAAAACGACGATTGTACAACACTTTGTACACAAGAACAGCTGCAAGGATATCTGCCGGGTTCCGCTAGAGGATACCCAGGGTCTAATCATAACATACACGAAAATCAGAGGACTTGTGATGCATAAGGAGGAGGCAGAATACTAGGAGTTGCCTGTGGTACCTACGTCGTCGTGGCAGCGTGATAGCATCATCGTTGTGTTTGTGTTCGCACAATTACTCCCGCAGGTGTTTGCATGCAGCTGACGCGAGGCTGTACCGTACCAAAGAAGTGCTGCTGTGTCATTCTACGAACCTTGTCAGCGGATATTTGTATGTAGACGGCGGCAACGATGTTGTCGTAATGTACCAACAGAGTTTGCATGCATGGTGTAATATCAAAACTCCAACGCTTCCGCACCAGATGACGGCCTACGTGTGTGCAGCTAGTGCAGCACAGGAGCAGCGCTTGGGATCATTCTTGCCGAGCAGGGACTACGGAGAGCAACAGCTACATGTACTGCTGATGCGGTGGGTAATGGATTGCAGTACACACTGCAGCCGGCAATCAGGACAATGTCAACACAGCGTAAAAGTAGCTCGTGTAAATATAGCACGCGATGGGGTATAAGCCGCACGCATCGGCGTTGCCAAGCAGCAAATGCATCATCTGCAGTGACAGAGCGGGGAAGAGAGAGAGAAAGGGAGAAATCACGTGAGTGGTCCCCGCATCATCATCATCATGTCGAACTTCACCTGATGCTGGCATCCCGTTGTTGCACCTGGAACCAGCGAAGCCCAGGGCACGCCTAATCTTCCGGCAAAAAAGGCGTCGCATGCCCCGAAGCCCAGCAGGGCAGCCACAGATACCACACGCTTCGAGAAAAGCATACTTGGAAAGATAAAGCGCCCAACGACGTGGACGAGTGCAGGTGTTGGTGTTGGTTGTACTGGTGTCGTGGTTGCGCGGTTGCGGGCGTGCGCGGGCAAGTGCACTGAGGGGCCCCGTAGTTTCGTGACGCCCCACGCCGCAACTTGTTCCCGTTCGCAACTTTTGGCGTTTCGACCACGAGGTACAGAGCAACTAGAGATTGCTCAAGAGACCAGATGACGAGACTCAATTAGATCCTTTGATGTTGTCGACACGAAAGAAAGCCACATCGAACATGAGAACTGCTGTATCAAGTGGAAATGTCGTTATACATATCGCACAGCTGAGATTCTAGTAATATTCGGACAGTGTGGGAGACGGAAGGTGAGAGCTCTAGACCTCGTCTTGGTACAAAATGTGTACAGTAGACTATTACGCTTGCTGTGCTGTATGTGTATCAAGGAATAATAAAAACACACAGAGAAAGACTACCCATTCGAGATAAACCCACAGTCGAACGGGATGTGTATGTTTCCTTCGACAAAGGGACAACCATTTATCCCGCAGCATCCCTATATGTTTCCTTCGACAAAGAGATGTCATTTATCCCACCTTATCCCTACTGACGCTGGCTGCTGAATACTCCATGCCAGGTTGTCCCCGGTCAGACTCTTTGTCCCCGGGTCAGACTCTTGTCCTCGCTGTGCACGTGCTGACACAAGAAGATCTTACCATGGGGGGGGGGGGGGGGCGCGCAGGCCCGCTGCTGATTGCGTTTGAGGTACTCACAGTAGTGGGTATTGTTAATTTCTTGCGTATATGTCAGTTCCGTTCATCGCTCACATGGAGAATGTGAGGACCGGACTTGACCCCTAATCCCTCTTACTTGACCAGTCACCTGCTTCAGTTTAACCGACGGCACAATACCCACGGAAACCAGCACCATATTGTTGTCGAGCTTCAGACTCTTCATGCACGTTCCATACGCCATTTAGAAGTTATATGTACATTAGCACCACGGCAGTAGTTGCTCCCGAATACTATTATGTTAAGGAGTGTGGCTGCTAGCTTAAATAGGGTACATCTTATTGTTGATAGGATGTGGGTCGGTCCCAGGAGGTATACCCTTCAGACACCTACCCTCTTAGGATTTGTCTATTCTGCGTACCCCCTGAGGTGAAGTTGGATCCCCACTTCACCTCAGACCCTTGCTGATCGTCTCTCAGCAATAACAAGCAACTTTCTCATCTCAACGTGATCGTGGACAAGCGTGTCAACGACAGAACCTACCTTCATCTATCTCTAGGAGCAAGCTACCGCCCACGGCTTCCGCTCCTTTAACCTTGGCGTCAGCGGCAGGCTGTTCCCAATATCTCTTCCTAGCGTCGCCGTTTTAGGTTCGAGTTGGTCTATCTTGGATTTTGTTTGTTTGTTTGTTTGTTTGTTTGTTCGTTTGTTTGTTTTTTCTTTTTGTTTTTTTTTTTTTCGTGTGGTTTGCCTCTGAACACTTGGAAAAAGAGTTCCCCAAGTTTCGTCGCTGTTCTTTGCCTCTGAACACTTGGAAAAAGAGTTCCCCAAGTTTCGTCGGTGTTCTTTGCCTCTGAACACTTGGAAAAAGAGTTCCCCAAGTTTCGTCGGTGTTGTTTGCCTCTGAACACTTAAACAACGAGTTCCCCAAGTTTCGTCGGTATGTTCGCCTCTGACCAGGCAAACACCGAGTTTCTCGTGTTTCCCTTGGTTCGCCTTTTGCCAACTCATTTTTTTGTAGCTCCACCGTGTCGCCGAAGTGTCATCTAGGCCTGTTACTTCGGGCTTCCATCCCGTGGCGTCGTCTTCTCCCGTGGACATTCGTCGTCATCCACACTTCGTTCTACTTCGTCTCCGTCATCGCTACCTGCAGGCGACGCCTTCATCATCGTCGAGCCCTTGAGTCGTTGTGTTGTTGTGTGTATCTCTGCGACTTTTCTGTGTTGTTTGAGTCTTTCTGTGTTGTGCGTTGCCAGCGAGCCAGGGCAAGTTCGTCAGATCGCTTCTCAGACGTTGATCATTCATGCTTTGCATTCTTGGTTTTCTTTAGGTCTTGCCGTGGCCGCCTCTCTATACGGTTTGAGTTCTCTGACACGCTGGAAATTGTTGTCAGTGTGTTCGCCTGTCATTCATTTCTCCTGCCCTTCTTTGACGCTTTCCTAGATTGGTTGCGTTGATATCTTCCCCTTTACGTCGCGTCCAGTATCAAAGGCCGTACTCGTTCGGAAATTTGCTTGGGTTTTGAGTTTTGTTGCCGTATTTTGGGGCTCTCTCGGGTAGTCGCCCTCATTCCTCCCATTGTCATACGCGCGGGTGCGCGTAAAAGAGTGGTGTGTGGCGTTTAGGTTTTGACTTTATTTCTCTTGCCGTCGTCTGTTGCGGATAGCGTGCTGTGCAGCACTACATATTTTTCTTGGCCTTATCCCTTCATTGGTAGGAGCGTTGTCATTGAGATGTCGATGTGTTGTCTCGTGGCCGTTCGCATCCATCTTTCGTCTCAATGATGGTGTGGGGGTTGATTCGGGATGTTTCTACAACTCACCCTCCTTTTTGGATGTTTTGTGAAGAGTCATATCTTCGATTCATGAGCATCAATCGTCAGCTAAAATCTTCGTTGTAGCTTTTAGGATTTGAGCATTGATTTGAGTATAGAATCTGCATATATGATATTCAGGGTGGGCTAGTGTTAAGGAGTATGGCTGCTAGCTTAAATAGGGTACATCTTATTGTTGATAGGATGTGGGTCGGTCCCAGGAGGTATACCCTTCAGACACCTACCCTCTTAGGATTTGTCTATTCTGCGTACCCCCTGAGGTGAAGTTGGATCCCCACTTCACCTCAGACCCTTGCTGATCGTCTCTCAGCAATAACAAGCAACTTTCTCATCTCAACGTGATCGTGGACAAGCGTGTCAACGACAGAACCTACCTCCATCTATCTCTAGGAGCAAGCTACCGCCCACGGCTTCCCCTCCTTTAAAATTAGCCCACCCGTGGAAGTCGTAGTACCAGTACGTAGCAGAATAGTATAAGTACAAGTAAGATACACTGTGGAAATCGAGACACTACTTTCCATACAAGCATTGGCACCAGTAATGCAATAAATTAGGGTCGGAGATACGTATAATATTTCATCCCCGCCAAACAATTCAAAACACCCCCTCACCCCACACCACGTGGTGATGACTACGGAGGCTTACAGAGCGGACGGCAGGGCTAGCGGGAATTAATCCCGCGGCGTATCCGGCCGCAAAAAAAAGAAAGTGCAAAATGAGGCTTACAATGTGCATAATATTCAGCACGAAAAACCCAACTCAGATTTCACGTAACACACGTGGCAGCGTGGTAACACGGCGCACACTGGAACGAGACGAAGCGGAGTACTTGCACGGTGCAGTATTACAAAGGGAATGCCATAGGTCCAAGGCGGCACCACACCTAGAGTGTAGACCATCGGGTTATAAACTTAACATCCACTACATACTCGTGTTGTAATCACCGTGACGGTATGTGGTCCGTGACGTGATTTGACATGCCTCGAAACCGAGAGCGGTGTTGCGTATGCACCTAGAGCAGGAACCACATGGAGCGTCCAACTCCGTAATTTTGCATGTATCTCACGGGAGAGACAACTGCCTTGGGGCCTTATCCAAGAATTGAACGATGTAGAAAACAGTCCGGTTTCGAAAGGACTGCTCTACACTATACACACCGAATTCCACATGAAGCTTTAACTTTGTACCAAACGTGAGCACCAACAAGTAGAAACAGCCACAGAAATGAGTCATCCAAGTGTCACGCAAACCCAGCCCGTAACCAGTGTAGCGATGAAGCACTCCGCCTGGTTTCATACAGAATGGCTCCCGCACCACCTCGTCCACGTGAAAATTCAACTTGCTTGGCGTTTCCGAATTTCTCGACCTCGAGACGCCTGGTTTGCACTACGATCTATGATTGATTGCAGTCAACAGTACACATGGGTGATTTCGTGCTGTACGAGTGTAAAACGTCTTTCGAAACATTCGCCGGCAAGGTTTTAGGTTGGTCATGCGTGTTAAACACCGACTGGTACATACACGGTTTGCATCACATGAAAACCCGGGCGGTTGTGAGACTCCTGTCTCAGTACGCCAGAAGGCAATCCAAACACAGTAGTTTGCACTCCGAAGGCGTTCCATACGGTGTTTCCGCCGCTTTTCCCGGACCAACAGCGAAGAAAATGGAGCCCAGAATGGTTAGATTTAGAGCGAGAACCAGATCGCCCAACCACACAACCATCAACTTAGTCGTAAGGCGGAAGCTGACGCAAGCCATCCAAAGCTGTAGAGTGTCGACGGTCGACACGCGACACGCGACACCCCGTTTGTTGTCTGTCGCAAATTGTTGACGCACCGAATAGTATGCATGAACCTGTCGTTCCGCCGCATAATATGGTATGCAAGCTGATTGCGACCCAAAATTCGGTCGCTGACAACGATCGCTATGGTGATCCTACAACAGAGAGCGGGAGGCGAAGCAATCGTCCAGTGTGCATCTCATTCGGCGCCAAGCAAGTAAGGAGCCATGTTCACCGAGCTGTTGTGGGCGAACTCGAGACTAGGAAGAAGAAGAAGACGAACGACCCAATTGACACTCGTTGACCATATCTGCCCTCCATACATAGCTGTTGAAATATGGGGCTGGACCACGCGGTCGGCACCGCCTTTAGTTTGCTTGTGCTACGACGAACTCGTAGCCTTCTTGGTCTTCATCAAGTCGTAAATAGCTCCACAGACAATTTAGATCAAACCTGAATAATAGCCAGAAGGCTACGTAGAGTCTAGAACAGAAGAAATCACAAGGACAACCCCACAATGCCATGTAGCGGTTGACGAAAGATACTATGTTGTAGCTGTGTCCACAATTGCGTTTTAACAGCATCGTTCCGTCATCCGGAAGTGTGTGAGCATGTGTCAGCAGCAAGAGAAACGACGTCGGACCTTGCCAGGCGGTCGCCGTCGCCGCCACCGCCGTGCACGTGGCAAGAGGCGATCCCAAATTGCACCCGCGGGCAAGCGTGTCGGAGATTCCAACCGTGTGTGGCCATAACCCACTCGTTTTCCGACATGAGTTCTCTAGCCTGCGGAAGAACGGATACGTTTGCAAACAGTCACCACGGAGGTATGGGCTTACTCGGCGACTGTGGGCGGGCCCAAAGAAGGACCGGGGTTTATAGCAGGCGCAGCAGGCGGTAGCAACGACGACGTGTGTGTGTGTGTTCCGCCGGCAATGGTTGCGATGGCGATGCCGCTGTGGCGGCAGTCGAAGGTGGTACAAGCGCAATATTCCACACTACGGCAGCTTTGCTAAACCGCCCAAGGGGCACCCATGGGCAGCCCTGAACAGCCCACTAAGTGCCCACCGCGGGCACTTCAACCTAGGACTCGCCACCGGTATATCAACCTAGAACTTCGCCACCCAGCGCCAACCTACAGCAGTAGCACGTATCGTGTGGGCTTGCGGTTAGGGTTAGGGTTAGTGTTAGGGTTATTAGCCATTATATGCCCGTTCCAGAGCAGATAAGCTATTGTTTAGGAGTACACTGGTTCCGGTTGAAGGGCACCCATTGGCCGCTGCTGCCCACGGACTGCCCACGGGCTTGCCCGTGGGCATTCCCTATGGGCGGTTTAGAATGTGTGGGAGACCCTACCAGCGACGAATACTGTTTCGGCAGCTTCTTTTGACGAGAGATGGCTCCAACGCCCCAGTCGCTCTGTTTGTGTCCTACAGAGTGATAGTGATATGTAGAGCTTTGGGAATCGGTCCAGGAGGTAGGTGTGGAATCTTAGGCAACCCAACTAAGAAGGTCAACCGGGCACACAGAGAAAGCAAAACGTCACATAGTCTACATCAGGCAGTGTCATGGACACTTTTGGATTGTTCTGTGGACTGCGACGACTGCGGTTTCGGTTCCCGGCACATGGAATCACCAAAAATCATGTTTTCCTTCTCCTGGGGGGTGTTCGTCCTGGTGCCCCTGTGCGAACCAGCTGGTGGTGCGAACGTTGCAAACATGTATAGCATTCCCAGAGTGAGCAGTGGGGTTGGACTGTGGGTGCTTGCACTACAGCAGCAGTAGACTACATGTACTTGTACACTGGCAAATTCACGAATTATCAATTTTCCACGATCCCTTGATTGGCCAAAAAACATGTATCTGCCATGAACAGGTGTTTACCTACCAAAGTATGGTCGTGTGGTCGTTTCGTTTGTGGTTGCTCGTTGCTCGTCCTGTGCCCGAAATTCGTTGCGCCGCTCCATAGGTACAATATCCCATCGTCACACAATAAAATCCGTAGTCCTGCCTCACGGGCGTGATCATCCTTGCTTGCGAGATATATCTAACGGTCTCCGTGTTTTCTGCCACGCGGGGGTGCCCGCCCTTTAGTCTACTGCTGTAGATTCCGTTTACTACTGCATGTAAATCAGAGAGCGAGGACGGCATGTTTTGAAACTGAGGTGAACACAAACAACCCTTCATGGGCGGATATCCACAGGGACGGACAGCAGTTTGTCCTTGGCTCTTGCGGCGGGCGGCAGGAGAACGTTTTCATACTTTTTAATCTACGAAATCCCTGCTGGCAGTACTCGCACACCGAGCACAGAGGTTCTGCACAGACTGCTGCACACCGCATACACGTACGCGCGGGTTGAACATCCTGTCGGGGCCAAGTGTCGGGGCCAAATCAAGAGAGGACTCATAAAACCCGCCAGGATATTTGACTCTTTCCGGTTGGTGTGCTGTACCGTGTGCACAGAAATTTCCACCCGTCCGGTACATCTCTCTCCACCTCTCTCTCTCTCTCTCTGACTCTCTCGATACACCCGAAGTCCTGTGCACACATCTTTCTGCCGGACAGCTGCTAGAATACTGCTGTAGCTCTCAGCGCCGCCTGGCCTAGCCCTTGGATTTCATACCCTGGACAAGACAAGAGGTGAGCACTATGAGAAGCCCGTTGCCTGTGACCCGGATCTTTGCAACTGCTTTGACGTATCTCTCTCGGCACGCACCTCTGGCAGGGACATGCATGGTGGTGATGAATAAATTGAATGGCTTTGCGAAAATGCTGCCGGTCCGCTTTGTTCGTGTGCCCTTTGTCATCATGTGCAGGCACACGCGAGGAGTTGACCGGTAGCGTATGCAGTGGAATCTGTCCATGAGTGCCCTCCTTCTCAACCACACCGCATACATACATGAACGCACGTACGTGCAACAGCTGAGCCGACGGTGTTGTTGGTCCCATCAACGGCACACTCGGTTGTACTCGCCAAGAGGCACAAGAGGCCCTCGTCTCCCATCTGGCTGCCCCGCCTCTGGTACATTTCATATTCTGCTCATGGAAGCAATGTCCGGCCCGCGTTTACCACTGCACGCCCTCCCTCTCGAGCTATATCAACGCTGGTGGTGAACGCGAATGTTGCCCCATTCGTATGGGCTGGCTCCGTGTATAATTGAACCACCTCCTCCATCCGCCTCGCAGCAGGGCCAAAAAAATCTTTTTCTCGGGTCACGTGTTGTTGATATGAAGGCAGATTGTAGCCACACTGCTGCTTTGGTGTGTACTGAGAAAAGTCCGCTGCTGGAGCCTGCCTGCTGACGGTGTTGGGTGTGTCTCCGTTATGATGGCAGACGGGCAGAGAAGGAGATGCCCACAGCAATGGACAGAGTCCGCTGTCTCCGCCCCCTGTGGTGGATCGCAACAATCGTTCCATATTTTGCCCTGTTGGGGTCGGTCGGTCGGTGTCTTCTACCCGCAAGAAAAAAAACTCTTCGTGTTTTGCGAACCCCAACCTAGAGTTTTGCACCATACATTTCGATACCGTCTCACCCAAGGGACGCACGCGAAAACAACCATTGTGTGTTGCCCGCACAGAACCTAGGTGTGATATTCTCGAATTGGTGAACCGGGTACTACCGGGGGCGGCGTGTTGTTGGCTCGTTGTTCTTTCTTGTGCGCGCGGGAGAAGTTTTGGCGGTTTTCTTCTTCTCACTACACACGAGCAAGCTGCTGCCTCTCAGCTGCTAAATAGCCGAATGTGGCTCCTTGATGCGGAAGTGTGGTATTTTCGTACGTTCACGGTTTTTCGCGAAAGAAAGCTGTTGATTACCCCCCGACCGTTTGACGAAAGATCCGTGTCGAGTGTATACAATACATGACGCCGGGTCCCGTAGGCTCTTGCTGCCCACCAGCTCGTGTAGGTCTTGAAGCCACGGGTATCTATGCAGCGAACGGAGCGACGTCAGTGACATCGACCCGTTGCATGGATGAAATCAACTGACTTTTTCCTTTTTGCAGGGATTTCACCCAAAACACACACGAACGTCCTTGTAATCAATTCTTTTCTACCGAAGGAGGGGCGGGGCAGAAGGGAAAATGAATCCAACGGGTTTCGTGTGTCCGTGGTTGTCTCCAATGCCTCTCTTCCACTGCACGTTGATGCCAGTGTTGTTATGTACATGGTTTGTGTTGTCTCTTCTCTCCCGATGGGGTCTTCATGCCGTCACGGGCTGTTGTGTCACTTGGAGGACAACAACAGCGGTGGGCCCATGGGAGATCGGGCTAATGTTTCTCAGAAAAGCGCCATTTTGGCCACGCACTACAAGTACTGTCTGTATCTACGTGTGTAACATTTTCTACTGCTTGATGATGACCGCAGAATTCATATCAAATTCGATATCTTCGTAGCTATGATGCATACCTCTTTGCTACGTTGCATGCATGACCGCAACAAGTTTCCCTGCGCCGGAGTCGATGCTGCGTGCCATTGCCATGTGGAGAGGCTGTTAGCAATTCGGACCGCGCAACTCGCCTTTTTGCCAACCCAAATCGAATAGACTGGTCAACGCTTACGGTCGGTGCGGCCCAGTGCGTTGATTTGATGTAACCCGCTCCGTTGTCCATGATCAGGTCGCGCGGATTCCGGCAAACGTTGTATCTATCCACGACACCCACACATCGGCACCCATGTGCTGAACGTATGTATCTGTGTACCCATGGCTGCTGTGCCTTTTGTGTTTGTGCCCTTGAACTGGCGCACGCGAGTCGTACATACCACCCATCAGAAGTATGTATACCCAGTCAAGGGGGTGAGAAAGTTGAGGCCGTCGTACTATTGTACTACTGCTGTACCAGGTACGTCATTACAGCAGTGAAGTATACTTTGCATCGAATGCAATGCGTAGTTTCTTCTGGCCCCACGTCACCACTCACCACTTTTTGTGGCCGCATACTGAAGAGGAAGTCTAGGTTCGTTAGCCCAAACACGCAGTAATACCATATGCGTATAAAGTTCGAACAGGTTGTTCCTCTGTAATTGAATGATTTCTCGTGGTCGTTCAACCGCCCGAATCATCCATTTTTCCGTTCCCAACCGTTATTTTTGGCCGTCACCGTACCGAACTTTCTTGTAACACGAGCTGCTGCCGCAAGACACGCACCGACGGACAAACTCATGCGGTAAGCTTCGTTTGGGCTCAAGTTACCTCGACCCGCGGCCGCCCTGTGCTTGACGCTGCCATCCCGTCCATATTTGGATTACTCTTTTTTCCCATCCATCCGCCTTGCACTCTCATTGAAACGTTTCGCCTCCACCGGTTTTCCACGTCAAATACATCGTCGGCAGGTTCGTGAAACGACCACAACAAGAATGTCTCCGAAGGCTTTGAGGTGCGTGACCCTGGCGGCCCTCCTAGGCCTGGCCATCCACGCCGACACGGCCACAGCAGCCACGAGATTAAACCCCAGTTCCGACAGCAGCTCCGACGACAGCAGCTCCGACAGCAACGATGCTACCGCGCCGACGCCGGTGCCGGCCATGCACGTCTCGAGCGCACCAACGTCCGCCGCCCGCGAAATGACAACACCTTCCCCGGCGGCGATGATTGCCTTCACCGCCGCGCCTACCATGCTCATGATGCCCGCTGGCAACGGCACCGCGTTCAACGGTACCGACACCCCTTCCCCGAACACGCCCATCCCCAAGCCGGAGTGCAACAGCACCCAGGCGGTGAGCATCCGCTACTCGGCAACGACAGGACGGCTCTACCTCGAGGCTGGCGTGGAAGGGGAGCGCGGCGGCTGCGTTACCGTGGAGCAGATCTGGGAGGCTCGCGGGGGGGGCACCACGGTGAGAAATGATGAGTTTGCGGTGGTGCTTGTACTGCTTGAGGGCGGTGTGCCTGCGGAAAACTGTTGAATCTCTGTCTGTCTGTCTCTTCTCGTTCTAGTCGAAGAAAACGTCGAAATTCTTCCGTACACACCTTGTCAAGTTGACAACGACTGCTATTTATTTATTTGCACTGCTGTTGGTTGTCTGTTTTGAGTGTTGACAATTTGTGTATTTTGTTTGTTTCTCCTCTCTTGTGCATCGACTGGTGGACCATTGGACAGCGTCCATCGTACCGATTTGCTCTCCTCTCGATGGCTTCCGAAACTTAAACTTGTCCATCCTCGCAACTACATGGGGTTGTGTAACGAATGCCCAAGCCAATGGGGCCTGGTTCGGGCCAAAGCCCGTGTGGATGTCGCCCCCAACATGCGCCAGATTTACCTGAATAATGATAAGGTCACCCTCGATATGACAGTACGGCTGTGCGCATGGAGCTGGCTTTGTGTATGCATACGGGCGGCAACTCGTGGTCTCTTTTCGTTCGGCTATACTTGGGGGTCAACCGGTGGTCGGAGAGTACAATTCTTCACTAGTACTGCGTGCGTGATGCTCGTGTTACTGTTCTCGCCTCCGTGGGAATATGTGTGGCCCTCCCGTAGTGTCTGTCTAGAGCGAAGCAAGTACGGAAGGAGCAACGTATCGCCCGTCCGTTGAATTCTGCTTCGTTGAACTATGTGTTTCGTTTCTCCTTCCACCGCGTTTAGCCTTGTCTTACATCCGTAGTACTGTTGAACATCAGCCATCTGATATCTTGGGGCCCTCGCCTTGTGTCCGCCACGTGCGCCTCACGTTAATCGTGAATCCCTACAGACCGGTGCTAAGGCTCCTCTTTACGCCGTCGACCCTGTATCGGGTGAGTACAGCGACGTCATCACCGGAACCTGGCTGCTCGAGGAAGACCTCTACGTTGAAGATGGCATCACCCTCAAGGTCGGCTACAGATATTATTTTTTTGCTATCATCCTGGCCGGTGTGCTTGACGTCACCTGTAGTATTTTCTCTGTCCTGCCGGTATTGGCTAGACTTAGATCTCTGTTTGTTTGTGCTGTGCATCATGCACGGCCGGTGTTTCTTTCGTGTGTATTCGTCCAATGGTTTGTCTCCTCACGTCAAGGGCGACGTTGGCAATTGTTTTTCCTCAGATTGGCGTGTACGGTGGACCGTGCTGTGTACCCTGCATGGCTAAGAGCGGATGATATGTTCCTTTGTGCTCTGAAAGATTGGCCGCACTGCCCACACTAATTTTTGGGGTGTAGGATGGCAGCATATCACCTCCCTTTTGGTCATGACGCCCTTTGGGTTAGGCGGGTGTAGGATGGCAGCATATCACCTCCCTTTTGGTCACGACGCCCTTTTCCAACTTTGTCTCTCTGTCCGACCTGTCATCCACTCGAGAGTAGACAGGGATGTTTTGATGGAAAGGAGTAGTATGTGGTCGCGTAGCCGTCGCCATGGCAAATCAAATCCTCGAGCTTGTCGCTTCCGCCAACATTTGAGGCCAAGTATGACATGATGATTGTTTACTTGAACACAACCTGCGGAGAGATTCATTCCTGTTTTGAAGAGTTTTCTGTGATAGACAAGACGTCGATATGACGATGGAGTAAGGACCAAGACCTAAACTACCTGGTTGTGGTGTGCGTGAGTACGACATTGAATGAGGAGATGTCCGACGTTAGTTTTTTTTTGGTGCATGTGACACTCAAAAATCGTTTTTCTTCCCCTTCTTCGATACTGCACCACCGCAGGTTTGGGGTAACGGGTCAGGGGGCTACGCGGACGAGCTGCGGCTTAAGAGCACCCCCCCGACCGAAGACGGAGGGAACGGAACCTACATCAACCTTCGCGCCCACGGCGGGAGCCTCGACTTCGAGCACACCAAGGTGATTTACTGCCGCCTGAATCGCAACGCGTCCGTTGCGCTACTGTACTGTGACGAAATTTCCTGTGCTATTCGGCTCCGTGTTGTCGCTCAGGTGGTTAGGCCGGTGAAGTACAGGCCCCGGGAGTGAGCGGTGTGTATACGGTTCCATGAGTTCTGTTCCGCGCTTCGCAGAAATCATTATTGCTTGACTGCCGTGGGCTTTAATTTCTCCTTTTGCTTTCGCTTGTACGGCGGTTACCAATGTTCCCGCGTCGATTTCCTTGAATCGATAGACTATTATAATTCATCCAATAACAGCAGACTGACTGAGAGGTCAAACGACTTATGTAGCGTATCGATCGTCTTGCTCTCGCTACCGTACGTAAGCCAGTACCGTACGTAAGCCGGCACTGCTGCTTTGCCTACCGCTAATGTCGCCTGAATCCGCCCCCCGCAGGTTTTCGGGTGGGACACTACCAACAACTCGTACGACATGGATGAAACTGACGGACGCAGCTACATCAGCGCCGTCTCCGAGATCGTGTTGGACCCTACCCAGACCTGCGAGGGAAACGCCAAGAACACCATGGGCGAGGCGCGCATGGTGAGTGCTACTGTACCGTTCTGTTTGGAAATATAGGGAACATTAGTATACCGTATATGACACTAGAAAACACACCCCGGTGATAACATTTTGGAGTTTGTAAATATTATCACCGGGTGTGTTATCTTGTTAGTGCAGCTCGCAGGGGCCCCTAAGGGTGTGTGATAAAACAGGGTGTGTGATAGCGCGTCCGAACACCCACAGCGTGTGTTTGGGGTGTGATAAATAAGGGTGTGTGATAGCACGTCCGAACAGCCACAGCGTGTGCTTTGGGGTGTGATAAATGAGGGGGTGTGATAGCCATGCCTGCACGTACACGTGTAGTGTAGGGACCTACCTATAGGGGCGTGGAAAAACAAAGGGGCTCAACCGAGGTGACGAAACTCCTGAGCACATGACCTCGGCGATAGCTCAACCCTCTGCCTGCACGTTCATGTTGTTGGGGGTCTCCATGCGGGGTGTTTCCCCTCACACAGCTGACGTGGTTGTGTGTGTGATTGCCCAGGGCAGATGCTGTCACCCCGGTGATAAAGAAGGAGGGGTCCCGTGACTATATGCGGCGTAACTAAAAATATCACTGGGGTGTGTTATCTCATGTACCCCTGGTGATAAATCGATGGTTTGTCAGAAGCGCCCAAAACTATCACTGGGGTGTCGTATTCTGTGGGGGGTGTGCTTTCTTATGTAGGTGTGTTATCTTGTGTCATATACGGTATTCATTTCACCCTTGTATGCGAATGGTCGCTGTGTGCTGAAACAGAGAAAGGTGGTGTGTAGCAAGCAGGCCATGTGCGGCCGGTGGTAGTCGTGTGCAAGCACGACCTCCTACCGTAAAGAAAGAAACGTCGAACTCGGGGCAGAGGCTATTTTGTTTCTTTTTGTTTCGTGGTCGCCGCCGTCGAGCCAAGCTTATTATATTGACTTCAGTGTAGTATCCATCGCTGAGCTATCATCCTGGTTCTTCTTAGTCCTGTTTTCTCAACTTTCGGAAAATTCAAGCCTCTGTGTCTCAACGGAACTTTTCTCTCATTGCGACCCCGTTCGTACTACTCTGGTTGCAAAGTTGAGTATTCCCCCAACATGGTTTTCCGCCCTACCAAGATGGAACTGCTAAAAAGCGCTCCCAATGTCGATTTTGACGATATTTTCTCTCTCCCCTCCCCCCCCCCTCCTGTTCTGGCTTGCTTTTTCCAGGACATCGTTAACTCTGAGATGGGCTACATGGGCTTCCACGACAGCGAGAGCTACGGACTCACTTGGAAGGTCGGACTTTTTTCTTTTTCCCGTGCGTCGCCCTAGTTGGCTTGTTAATGAGATATGGTGACTTTGCATGCCGGTGGCATGACGCTGACGCGATTGATGTAGCATGACACTGACGCGATTGATAAGTAAACATCAACAACATGTTCTTTCTTTCTTTTCTTCTATTGTTTGTTGCAGGTGCGAGGGTTCTGCAAGGACAAGTCCAACCCGGAGGTCTTCGACCAGGTGAACGTGTACGGCAATATCTACGACTCCGAGCTGCACCACATGAACTTCGCCGTATACACGTACGGGCACCAGCAGGGCGACTGGCGCCGCAACACCGTACACTCCAACTCCGGCTATGGTGAGGAAAGAAGGATGGAACGGACCCGCGATCGATCGATCGCTTTGTGCGTGCTTCTGCGAGCAGCGCGCTGGTGCATTGGTTGATGGTTATGTGCTTGACGTCCGGCTAAGCCGCGATTGGTTAAATTTACTGAGCTTGCTAAGGTAGGTTGATGTCGTTGTTCTTGTTGGTTTTCGAGCACAAGAACTTGGGTCCTCCCAGATCGTATTATCGCACGAGCAAACTCGTTGGCAGGTCGTGCATCGTATTTGTCGTATCTGTGGCTGCTGTTGTCTAAGATAAACTTGGGGGGAGTGTACGTCTGCCGACCAACCCGTTTAAGAGATCAAATGCTTCGGCTAAGGTTCATTTGTGCGGCACTGTTGGTGGTTCGGGTTGTTCGCCGTCGTTGGGTATGGGTGTCCTGAGAGCAATATGACCAGTGACAGTCATTAACCCCACGTGTATGTGATGAGTGAGCGATGGTGTGTCGACTGTGGATTGTGGATTTTTTTCTGACCCTACTTGCCACACATCCGTTCGTGATGTGTTCTGTGTCGGTGCGACTGCGCAGGGTACGACCCCCACGACGACTCCGACTTCTTGACGATCCACGACAACGTCGTGTACGACAACAACTGGCACGGCATCATCGCCTCCAAGCGGTGCAACAACGTGTCCATCCAGGTCCGGTGCCGCGTGAAAAAACGCCTGCTCACATTTTTGGTTCTTTTTCGACGCAACAGTCCCGGGCCGCGTCAATCATGGCTGTTTAATTTTGTGTTCCTCTTCCATTTCACGGCAGTGCTGTACCGCGTCAATGCCTTACTACACGAAAGAGCGTTATTCCCTTTCGATTGTTGACGGATTCGTGCAAGGTGAACGGCCCCCTTCTTTCATGTTTGTGTCCTCGATGCGACCATGCCGTAGACTAACACGCTTCCGATCCGAAATCGCCGGACTTGCTTGCGTGACGCGTGTTCGCCTGCAGGGCAACATCGTGTACGGCGGAAACGACACCTCAGCGGGGATCTTCCTTCACCGCAGCAGCGACTACGCCGTCGTCAAGGGTAAGCGTCGAACATCCTGCCGCTGTGCTGGCTGAATAACAAGTGTTTTTGCATCCTGCAGTACTGCTGTAGGGCCTTGACCTTGGTGTCGGGTGTTTCTATGTTGAGGAGGCCTTGCGCTTTTCTTGTGGCGATGCCGGCTTCGCCATTTGCCGGTTCTCGTGCTGTGGTGAGCACGGAGCGGGTGGAGGCAGAACTGCTGTTGCGACGAAATTGCGACTGTCACGAGCGAGCGCACCTCGCGAAAGCCTAAATTTCGCCTCCCTTCATTCTATTATTAATATTTTTTTCTGTTTTCGCGGGTTAGATTTCCGTCAATGGCTGTGGCCTAGAGGCGTCAATTCATAGTGTATCTAGTGCGCGATCGGATGCGGGCGTTTTTGGCAGAAGATTGTCGAATTGAACCTCCTGCCCGTGGTTCTAATTGCTAGCACTTCGACGACTCCACCTCTCGCCCAGACAACCACTGCTACGGCAACGGCGACGCTGGCATGGCCATGCTGGAGTCCTCCAACGCCGAGATCTCCGGCAACATCTTCGAGGGGAACAAGTACGGCATCCGCATGTCCGTGGGCTGCCGCGACAACTTCGTTTCCAACAACACCATGACCAACACCTCGCAGTGAGTCAATCGGTTGAGTCATAAGGGTGCCATTGTAGAAGGCATACCACGTACAATGACCTGGCCATTCGAGACAATGCCACAGTCGAAGGAGGCGCGTTGAAAGTCGTTGCGGCGAGTGGGGAGGAAACCTGTCTTTTCGGTCTTTGCGCCACGGGGTGGTACAGCAGTATCTCGGCAACCCACGTGTGTTTGTCGCGTGCAGGTTGGGTTGGCTGTACGGGTGGTCGTGGATTTTTCTACTTGCTCGACATGGCACGCTCTCTCTTCGAGTCAAAGGCACTCTAGGCCCTCTGCCAAGAGTTCGTTGACCATCAGCTGCACGTTTGAATATATTTCGGAGATTAGGGTTCAATTCCTTGCCGCGAAGATATGACGCCGTCCATCCATCCCTCCTTCCCTCCGTAATGGCTGCATTTTTTTTACGTTTTTGTTGTTGTTGTTGTTGCGGCATACATTATTCGTCCAGGTACGCCATTTACACGTACCAAGGCTCGGACCCCGCCGAGGTGCAGCCCACGGGCCGTTCCCAGGACAACATCTTCGACTCCAACACCGTCGTCGGCGGCCCGCAAGCCATCAAGCTGAAGGAGTCTGACGGCACCAGGATCACCAACAACGTCTTCTACGAGCCCGGGCTCGTGGAGTTTTCCAACACCACCGAGAACGTTGTGACGGGCAACGTCGGCCTCGAGGACGCCACGGAGGTTGAGCTGGTCGAGCCCGCCTGCTTCGCGGAGACTGACGAGGCCTCCCTTGCCGAATACTCCTGCTAACGCTAACGCTGTAACGCTAACGTGTTATGCGAGTAGATTACACCTCCTGATGGTTGAAGTAGACGTCTGTCTTAGAAATAAGAACCACGCGGCGGCGTGTGGTGTAGGTGAAAGCTGTTTTTGTTTCGAGATGAACATCCTTGTGCCGGTTGCTTGCTGCCAGCGGAAAGTCTTTCGGCGGCACGCGCACGCGGTCCCTGGTTTTCTCGAGCGAGGCACAGTGTTATAATGGATTCTTGGTTGCCTAGTAAACTGAGACCGTGCGTGCTTACCGGGGGCAGTCTCACGCTTGCGGCAGCAGCAGCAGGAGGGTAGACAGCGTACGAAAGAGAGAAGGGAGTTACGCAAAGATGTCGCGGGCCGTTCTCCACAGCCGAGCAGAACGCCCCGCGTGCAGGACTCCCCAGGTGCTTGATCGCCTTGCTCTGGCGCGACGTCATCTGTGCATTTTTTGCCCGATTCTTGCAAAGATTGGCGGGCTTTGATAAGTTCGTCACTGGAGATTCAGTCACAGGTATGTGTCCTTGGGCAACGCTCGTGTGCGATGACAGTGTGCGTGAATCCATGGTGACTCGAGTCGGGGGTGCTTTGCGAAGACGTGTTTAAGTAGTAATTGTTTGTCTCAAGGAGCGTTGGAAGCTCGAGCGGGATGCGGAAAGGGGAGACGCCGATGGCTCGACGTGTCTGTGGCGGTACCCCCCTAACCACCGGGTTTGAGGTTTTGGCGCGGAGCCCCCAACGTGCTTCGGAGAGACTTAGTTGTAATCTTTGGCATGGTGGCGCCGATGGTTCACTCATATCCTTGTGACACGGGAGGACACAGTTAAAAGAAAGCTCTGTTGTTTTCGCGTACCCGTTGGCTTCGCCCCCAATAGTTGGGAGTTTTCCTCGTCCGGCGTGTTCCGAGAGGTGTCGATCGGGTATCGCATGATGGAGTAGGGTTGTGCTTGCTTGCGGCGGACATCGCCGCCTAGAGTTTGCTGGCACGGGCCCATATTTGTGTGTAGAGTACACTGATCGTGCTTGATCAAAAGCAAAAGAGGAAAGGCGTTTTGAGTTTTCTCGGCGTTTTGAGTTTTCTGCGTTGGGTGCGAGCGGATAATCAAGGCGATAATAGGCAGAACACCACCACGCCCTACTAGATGATACAGGCGTATTTTGACCTGCTTGCGTCGTTCCCTTGACGAACGTACTTTTTTTTCATACCATGAGTGTACCATGGACGTACGGTTCAGGTAGTTGAGTAGATAGTGGGAGATGACCCACCACTGTGGTGTTTGATACAGGCCGCGAGGCAACTGGATCTATGTAGTAGCAGGGTCGAAATCCTTTCTTGTGTTCTTTGCGCACGGACGGCAGCGAGCTAGGTGAAGTCTTTGTTTGGGCGTCGTGTAGGACATGCCGGGGAGTGCGATATTTCTGTACTCTACCTTTCTGTTGTATTTGCGCGCTTGAGCAGACAGGTGTGGCGATTCCATGGCGTTGAGCAGGAAAAAGCTGTTGCGCGGTGTTGGCTGACTTGCTTTCATCCACTGTAATTTTGTAGGCTTTGGATTGCTTGCTTTGCTTGAAAGGCCGCCGGCACTTTTGGGCCGCGTTTTGGGTTGGGCCAGGGGAGAGCAAGCAACTCGCCGAAACCTTCCCTGTGCTCATATGCTTCTCCCGAAGTGTAGTTCTGTGTGACGTGACGGTTGGGTATTAAATAGTCCCCTGTATGGTTGCAGCCAGAGGTGGTTTTGTTCCACTTCATCACGATGTCTACACACGAGTTCGGAAAACACGATTGATGACGTATGTGCTTGGGTTTGAGGCTTCAGGCGTGGGGTGCATTTTGTTGTAAATGTGTCCGTTTTTTCTCTGTGTAGGGTCGTTCGGCCCCCTTCATGTGACATACTTTGATATTGACAATATCGCTACAGTACTGGGCCCTCTATAGTGCAGGGGTGTGTCCAGAAATTCTACCTGCACTATAGCGGGCACCTGCACTAATCAGAATAGTGCGTCAATAGTGCAGGTTCGATGCTTGATTTCATGGTGTGGCGCTCAAAATTTGCGGGGCTAACAGAG